ATATTTTTTTAATTAAAACATTTGATACATTGCAAACTGTTTCATAAGCACTTTAATATATATATAAAATTACTAACCAAATTAAAATTCTATTTTATTATAGCTCTTGTTGTAGCAACAACTATGGCTGGATATGCACTAGCTCCTGCACCATTTGACCTTTATACATTTGCAATGTGTTCTTTAGGAACAGGCTTAGTCTCTGCCACTGCAAATACAATTAATCAGTTTTTTGAAGTTTCTTTTGATGCACAGATGTCACGAACAAAAAATCGAGTATTAGTACGTGGTCATTTAACGTGAGTTTTTTTAAACTTTTTTATTTTGACATAATTAGTTAATTTTATGTAACTTGATACTAAATATAATGACAATTGTATATATACATATACATCATCAGGCCTGTTCATGCAATAGCATTTGCAGCAGTATCTGGTATCATTGGATTGTCCATACTGTACCATGAAGTAAATGGTATCACAGCAATGCTGGGTGCTAGCAATCTTATTTTATATACGCTTATATATACTCCCATGAAACGCGTTAGTATTGCCAATACATGGATTGGCTCTGTTGGTGAGTATATATCTTTACATATATCATAATATTATAACTAAACTTGCATTATAATTTTATTTACAGTAGGAGCTATTCCTCCTCTTATGGGGTGGGCAGGTTGTTGTGGCAATGTACTGACGCCAGGTGCTTGGATATTGCCTGCTATTTTATATGCGTGGCAATTTCCACACTTTAATGCTCTTTCATGGAACTTAAGACCAGATTATTCACGAGCTGGCTATCGAATGATGGCTGTTATAAATCCAGATTTATGTCGTAAAACAACTGTTAGATATACAGTAATTTTAATGGCTCTATGCTATTTAGCTCCTGCATTGGATGTAACCTATTGGTGGTTTGCATTGGCTTCGACACCACTCAATGCATCTTTTTTGTATCTAGGTAAAATGCACTTTTATTATATATATATTTTTTTTTAATTATATAAAATTTACATGCGATGTAATTTACATACACAATGTATTTAAAAATTAAAGTCAAATTTTTACAGTGTATTAAAAGAAAAGAAGAAAAAGACAATAGTTTATCCAATTAAATTATTAAAGCTATACTTGTATAGTTTTATAGCTCTTTGAATAAATTATTGCTTAAAACATGATTTGACTATTTACACATTTCAATATGCTGTATAAATTTGATCTCAATCTTTTTAGATATTTCGTATATATATGTATACACTTTTTTTTCTATATAAGTACATGATATTTACATAATTTTAGCTTGGACATTTAATAAGCATTCGGATAGTGCAAATTCTAGAAGATTATTTCGATTTTCGTTACTTCACCTACCTCTGTTGATGGTGCTGATATTGTCGAGTAAAAAGTATTGGGCTAACACAGACACACAGGGAGATAAAGTCGAATCTTCTCATAACGAATCAGCAAAGAAGAATGATTTACTGACTATTTTCACTGCACCTATCGTTACTTCTTCTGTATAGTTTTATTCCATTGGACATGTCCCAGTAATAGTACAAATTATTACAATATCGTCAAATTTCAGGTAGAAGATTTTAAAGCTTATATTACCTCATTAACTTTTCAAAATATGATATTGTGTAAAATAGATACTGTAGATATATTCAATTGGATTTGTAGTATTTGGTATTAATTTAAAAAATAAACGAAAATAATATCAGGTGTTCTCACAGAAGGTGATAATAAAATTCACCAGAAACGAACAGTCAAAATTATGTACATTTATATATATCTAGTTTTATTTAAAATATTTTAATACATAGTGTCATGTCATATTTTCAACTTCCTTACGCTTTGCCTCGAATTCTTTCGCCATCTGTCTTCTAGTTTTAGTTAGATTTCTGTGACCAGCACAGTCTAAATTTTCTATATAACATTTGTTCCTGCAGCATTGACGACACAATTTATATTCACATTTAAAACCCTACAATTTGAAATAACGCTAATTTAGAACTTTTTCTGTTCAAAGTATTTTTATTTTTTCTTTTATTTTTATCTTTTTTGAAAATTTTTTAAAGAGTAAGATAAGAAAAGTTCACACTGAAAATATTCCAACTAACCAGAGGATTCGGACAGGCATGACACCGATCTGAACTTCTTTTAGGAATCGAAGTTGTTCTATTCGGTCTACGCGCTATCCTCTTAAGCTTTTTTGAACGTTTTCGTGATATTTCGTTTCCTTCCTCATCTCTATATTCACGTTTCCGAGGTGCACCATCCTGAAAATTATCATTATTTTGAAAGAACATTTCTTTAATCATAATATAATAGAAAGATTAACAGTAAACGCAATTAATCGTACTTGACTCATCTACCTGTATTTTTTGTGTGTACTCTTGTGGTGGCTCTCGTACGTAAGGTTGACATAACCACGGTGGTAACTCTAAATTATAATCTAAAAATATCAAAAGATTTTTTAATGTGAACGTGTAACAAATGCAAATAATATTCTGTAGACGTCAAATCATTACCTGTCTTTCCCGTCTGCCATATCAAATGTCCTTCATGATATGGTAGATAACGATCCCTCAAGGCATATGCAACACTTTTAAAAGCTTCCAAAGTGGAGTTGGTGGCCAAGTTTTCTCTTTCTTCTTGATTTTCTGCTAAACAAAGTCTACTCTCTAGTTAAAAGCATGCTGTATGATAAGCATACGTTTGAGAATTGTTTTGCTATTTATAAGTTGACATGATCGAAAAATCAATACATACACATGGTGGAAGAGTTTAAATAAATGACCACGGATGTACGATGCTGGTACCGGATATTGCTCTGCAAGTTCCAGATATTCCAGAGCAGGTTCCCAACAGGCGGGATAACGAGACTCAAATATGTACGGATTATAAAGATTCCCTTCCGCTGACATCACACCTTGCACTTGAATTTCCTCAATGCACCGCTGTACATCTTGCATACATTGTATGTTGCCATTGGCGATCACAGGAATTTTCACGGCATCCCTGATGAAGCATATCAAGTAAAAACACATTAAAAACGAGAAGCACAAAATACAGGGATTCGATTGTAAATAGCAAAAAGCATATATGTATAATGAATGCTTCAAGTGAAATGGAAAACAGGAATTACCTTACTGCTTTAATGTGCTTCCAAGACGCTAATCCAGTTAATGGACCCTTTTGTTCTCTTGTACGTCCATGGATAGTGAGTAAGCTAGCACCTGCATTCTCTAGCATACAAGCATATCGTACAGTACGACTAATTTCTGAGAACACCCGTAATTTACAAGTGACAGGTATGCATAATCCATTCTTTAATGTCGACACTACATACATAAGAGATTTATTATATTACATTATCGTAGAAGTCATTATCAGAAAGTCGAAGATCTGTTCAAGTGTATAATTATTATAAAATGCATGCATACCGATTTTCTTTAACAAGTCCCAATCATCTTGTAAGAAAGCTCCATAATGTCCTCGCTTTGCAATTGCTTGAGGACAACCGATATTGATGTCAATTGCATCACAGTATGGTTCAGCCCAGCGTGCAGCTTCCAATAATATGTTTGGATCACTGCCACAAAACTGGAAAACGAATTACTATTGCACAAAATTTAATGTCAAATGTTCTTTTCTCTTTCATTTAAGTGTTGCGCATTTAAAATATTTACTTGTACGAAAATGTTTGAAAGATTATTTAAAACTATTCATCTATTGAATCTTGGATCGAGCGCATTATTTCAGTCGATTGTTTGGTCACATACTTGAGATTTGGAGGAATTCTAATTAAATTTCGAGGAGTTATATCCTCCTTACATTTTTAAATTTTGTTCTTTTGTTAAATGTTCCTTTGTATATGTGTGTGTGTGTGTGTGTGTGTATATATATATATATATACACACACGTATATAATCCCGAAAAATCTCATGTAACTAGTCGAGGATTAATTTTATAGTCTATGAAATTGCAGTCCTATAGTTGTGTCAAGCAGACCTGTACAATCAATGGACGATCTTCGCTAGTACTAGCGAGAGCTTCTCGCCTATATTTGGGATCCCGACAGAATACAGAGGAGTGCAACATTGGCGTGTAACAGAGCTGAGCGCCGTGTCGCCTGCTGAGTAATCTCCATGCCAATTCGCTCGCATCCACCATTGGTGCGACTATGTAACGCGGTGAACCCAAATCTTCCCAAACGTTAGTCCTCTTCTTCGAGACAGCATCCTCTTTGTCAGGTGATTCCACAGTCTCGGACATTATCTGCGCGCATTATGAAGGTCGCATGAGCGATACTTATTATTTGCGACTACGCAAGACTCGGGGCTAAGTTATACATTTAGCTTCCCCCCTCTCTCTCTCTAGAAGGAAGTGAGGAAACTTATCGTATGTTAATGCACGATGCAATAATGTGATGTCACTTGCTGGCATTACAAATTCAATAAAGTGACATCAATTGCGCCATATTGCACATTTACAAACTGACGTCGTACGATTTGAAACTATTATACTATACTATAATCGCGTCGTGCAACTACTTGGTATTATGTTTGGCCGATCGTTAAAATGGTCTCAATTTCTATAAAATTGAACTTCTTATCTTTACATAATGTCTAACTGTAATGTCTAACTTGATATTATAACTGATATTTCTTGCAAGTTATATCCGGCTGTTTCTTTCTTACGAGACAAAGCATTTGTATTAGTGTAATTGGTTGGGCATGGCACATTATCAATTATACAGGATGCCCTCGGACGTTTTCATCATATAAAATTATAAAAAGCTTGAATAAATTTTTGATCGATAATACATCGTATATATGAATCTTGTACACAAGAAGAAATCGAATTTTATTTCCAACACATTGCGTTGTATCTGCCAGTTTTTGTATCACATTAAAATGTACAATTATATATATTATTAAAACATTAAATTTACAAGTTTGATTAATAATAATAATATTAAATGATGTTATTTTCTAAAAAAAAAAGAAGAAAAAAAAGGCAGACTCGTATATACGATAAATGTATATATTCGATTATGAGGAGGACTCTTGCTAAATCGCTTGTTCGGCTTGATATTCCTAATTCCTAAATAGTAACAGCTCAGTGCCGATAACGTTACTCGTGTAATGGTGGGAAGGCGAATATAGAATTCGATCGCGACGGCGATCTCGGCGTAGCCGGTTTCGAAAGCTCCGACTCCGGTATGGGCGACAGTTGAGCGGTCTGCGTTACGACATGCGAGCCGATCTTGAAGTGCGGTCTCTTCTTGGAAAAACTCCCGCTCCGTCGTGTGCGAAGGTGAGTTTGATTTCGTTTAGATATCGTGGAGGGCGGCATCTGCCCCAAGACGGAAATATCAGTGGTGTTTGAAGATACTTTTCTAACTTTCCGAACGGTGCGGGAAAAATCTAGGGCGGGTAGCCTCGCCGGTGGACGTGGATAATCCGGTGGTGTCGTCAGTTCCATCGTCACATTCCGTGCTTCGACATTCCGAGCCTGATGTTCGGCTGATGTTAAAGCAAGTGCGACGTCCGGAGGACTGCCTGGTTGCGGGATGATCTTGTTGCCGCAATGACGAGCGATCGCTGAGGACGAGCCTGTCGTCGTTAACCGTTGTCTCGAGCCTTTCCTCAGACGAGCCTGCAGAAAGGTCTGTATTCTTCTCATTGTCCCGCAGGATCGTTTCGTGGGCTCGATTCTATTATCTCTGTCGGTGCGACGCTTTCGTCCGTTTCCATCGTGCCTGCTGCCGGCATCGGGATGGTTCATGATGGAGAAGCAACAAGACACCGGCGAGGGCGTGGAGGATGATTTGGTATCCGGCGAGTCACGCATATGATTCCTCAACTCCGTCGTCTGCGAGGAAGAGACCTGAATAGAGGTCTCGGTGGTGCGCGAATCGTAAGAGAAACAAAGACGAAAATTCCGGCCACCTCTCGTCTTGGAGGAGACATCCTTAATGCTGTTCGCCGTTGCTTCGTCGTTCCGGGTTTCCTCGGGATGCGTCGAGCAAACGTACACGTCCGTAGTCACGCTGGTAGTATTAGTTTTTCGTAAAGGGCCATTCTCGCAGAAGCGAGAATAGAGACCTCGCGCGCCAATCCGGTTGACGCGATCCTCCTCGTCGGCAGCTACCAGGCCAGAGGTTGTTCTAGACGTTGTTCTAGAGTCGGCGGCGGTAGCAGTGTTTCTCTCCCGTTTGTTGCGCACATATTCGTATGTGGTGAGACCGAGGCAGGCGATATAGCCGTGAAAGAAGCAGAGGTGTATGAGCATCACCGCGGCAATGGCCGAGAGAATACCGATGACGGTGACGAGGACGAGCGAGCCGGTGTCAGGCACCGGCAACAACGGTGGCGTCGCCGTGCCGTTATTCATGCTCGCGTTTGCCCATGTTCCGTTATTGTTCCAGTTATTGTTGACGAATAAGTGTGCGTTAACGAGCACGAGCTCGCCGAGGGCGAGCGCGGTAACCGCGAGCCGCCGATGCAATTGTTCAACCATTTGCAGTGATGGTCGAAACGCGGTACGCACTTGTTGCAGATGGAACAGTGCTTGGTACGCCGACCACGCGTCGTTATGTTGCAAAGGTGGCATCGGCCGTTCTCGATGACATGTCGATGCTTCGCACGGTCAAACTCCGGTACGATCGCGCGAACTGGTCGTGCGCGTACCTCGGGATCGGCCGGATCTAACAGCAACACTGTCAGATGGCTCGACAGGTGCAGCAGAAACAACGCGGCAAACAGTGATGAAAGGACGGAGCGCAGGTCGGGCAGTACCGGCGGCGTCCTGAGAGTCAGCAACACAATGAAGGTACCGACGAACACGATAGTCAGCAGTACCCAACCGACGATCTGTTGAGGATGCAGTGGCAGCTGTAGCCCATGAACGCGCCGGAATCTCCTCTGCTCCGGTGGCACGTATCCTGGCTGCGTATCCCGCCAGGTGGTGCAGCACCGGCCAATCCTATTATTATTTACACACCTCTCGTTTAGCATTCCCCTTAGTATCGCTCTTTCTCCACTCGATCATTTATTTCCTTTCTCTTATTTACCCTTCTGTGTAAACGTGCTTTTTTGCTTCTACCATGTTTAATCCTCCATCACCCTCCTTGTTTCTTTTCATTTCAATTTTTTTACTTCTTTTTCCCACATACATTCTCTTCTTCTCCTCCTACCTTATCCCTATGTACTATATACCTCTATGTTATACTTCATTTTTTCTATCGAATATTATTTAATATTAAACAGCCAGTACATCATTTAAATACTCTCACTACTCTCATCTTATATATATCAAGTTATATATTCTTCCAATAATCCTACCCACTTTCACATCATGTTTTCACATTATGAATAGTAATTTATAAACTTGATCTTATCTCGCTTTCTCTCTCTTTTTTCTCCTTGTCATTTGTCATTCATTTCCTTACTTTTATAATCATCTTAAAAACATGATAGTCTCTTAACACTACCGATTCTCCGAAAGGGCATGTCAATTCCTTCCTTTGTACCTACAATTTCCATGTTCGCTTTAGTACAGGTAGTTCGAATACATACATAAAATACGACTCGTAATGTCTTCGCGATTTAGAAAAGCACGATAAACGATATGCCATTAGGTTTCCGCGCGACACAACGTTATTCTTCCTCTAACAATGTAACGTAAACCTCGACGAGGTTCTTCCTCTCCTCGCGTTTCCTTCGCCATTCCATTACGTGACACACTCTTAACGGTAGACGATCTTGAACGGATCCTCGTCATTTTACGAATCGCCTCGAGAAACTTGCCGTCCGTGAAACTAATAGGGATTTGAGAGCAACAACTATTCTAATTGGCCACAAGCGGAACTCGGAGTGCTGTAGCAGCTGCAGTGGCTATACATTGGTGACAGTGGTGACTATTCGCCGTCCTTGTCGGCGACGCCTAAGCGAATCGATAAATCGCGGTTGCCGCGGAAACCAGTACTTTGTTTTCAGAACATTTCAGAACTCGCGCACGCATGCGACGAACAATGCGAGCACGCGCACACTCGCGCTCGCGCGAAATTTCTACGAGATACCTAATGACCGAAAACTGCAGATATGTATAATTTAATGAATAAACGAAAACGTTTACGCCTAATTTTCTGCTAATCTAATAATTTTGATTTTTATTAAACGTTCGTTAGAACGTCGACGCTATTCTCCTCGAGTGATTCAATTAACTTAACTTCAATTAACCTAACCTAACCTAGCCTAGCCTAGCCTAGTAAAAATTATTGCGTTAAAAAATATTGGCGTAATTATGGTCGGAAAGTATTTAGAAAGATTTTGTACGAAATTCCAATAAAATGCCTGTGATCCTGGGTACGCGATTAGATATCGATCAAATTTAATGCGAGTAAAACGAAATATCACTAACCTCACTTTGTGTAATTCAATCTTTTCAAACAGCAGATGGAATGAATTCACCAACATCCCTCGAATCGATTAGTTTTAAATATCATTTAATATTGCATTATACGTCAATCACGATTTTCTCTCGACATATTCTCAATCTTTATCCGATTTATTATAACTTATCATGAAAATTCAAAAGGAACATTCAGAAAGATATCTGAAGATGATCATTGTCGTCCGCTACAGCAGGCAGCATGGTAGAAGAAGATAGGTGAGATAACTTGAGCGATGCGCAGTAGTCGATTTGGTTATATTCATGGAATAAAAAGAAGAAGATCGAACTCGAGGATGAAATATTGAGTGCGTTCAAATCGACAAAGCGGCTAAGGGTGAAATCGCATGGTACGGAAAAGGACTGCGGAATAGAGAATGCGTTAACAACCAATTAGCGCTATTCGAAATAACGTTGAATAACGTTGATTGGTTGCTTCTATGACGCATTCTCTATTCCGCAGTCGTTTTTCCACTGTGTGATTTCACCCTAAGCCTACTTGCCGATCAAATGAAAACAACTTATAAGATGCGTTCGGCAATGTAAATCTGAGATGCCGAGCTAGCAGATGGCGAGCTTGATCACGTGATCTTCGAGCAATCCGAGTGCCAAGAATTAATTCCGAACGCTACAGAGCTGTAAACTGTCCTTTAAGGTTAGATTATAAAATAAAATTGTTTATTTTTATGAATAAATAAAATAAATAAAACCCTATTAATTAAAAATTTCTTTCGCTTTACTAGACATTAATAATAGCCTTATATACTAAAAATAGATCATATAAATATTGCAGACTCATATGCAATGTGTTTTCTTAAAAAAAAATATTACATTGCAAAATAAATTTCAGCAATTTATAAATTGTATCACTTGATTTATTGGGTCATCTAAAAAGTATCTGCGGTACTTTGTCACTAGATATATGATCATCAATACACATCTAGTGACAAAAAACCGCGGATACTTTTTAGATAACCCAATATTAATACAGTTTGATTTTACAGTTTTATTTCATTCTATATATGCAACATAAGCTTTGATCTAAGAATTAATTAGCAAATTCTTTGTTTTTAAATACGTAACTTCAAATTCATTGAAAGAGGAAAAGAATTAAAAACTTACTTTTCTCGTTAAATATTGTACATAATGTACTCCATCAATTTCTATTTGATAGAGCATTTGTTTGAGCGTTTGTAGACTCAGACATTATAACAGTTCAAATACATTATTTGTAAAAATATTCAAAGAGATGAATGTACGTTATGTGTTAATGAATCAGTTGGATACATTATCCTGTAAATATACAGGTTATGAATTTAATTTAAGCGCGAAAATCTGCATTAGCTCTGCGAGCTCGGTCTTTGAATCCGGAATGGATCGAGCAGCTCGATTGGCTCTAGAAATGTTAGTACCGAGCGCAGATGAGATGACATATAGCAGAAAGATTGTCGAACGATTTTCGTAAAAGAGCAAACGGACGCCTCCGATTTGCAATGCCGAACGCACTTATAGATCCAACCAGTCATTTTCAATCATTTGGTGAGCAGACTAGCAGCACGAACTAAAAGTATTATTTGTTTTGTCTCTCAGGAGCTGCTCGAGATCGCTCCGAATAAACCCAGCATACTCGAAATGTAGGATTCGCACATATGTACGATATCCGTCATACGATGTCCAACATTCATCGTAATAATGGGGCCTCGTATACATTCAAGTTGGCTGACGCTTATCGAATGTCGTTAGTCGTAAAAGATAGGACCCAATCCAAACGTTCAGCAGCCGATATCGGCCTAGTTTTCACTGAGGATTTAATCCGGATCAGAATGTAAGAACCAACCAGCTACAGTCGAGTATTCCTCTGTTACAGTCGAACGATAGGGGAATGCTCGACTGTAATTGATTGATTGAAAATTAGGCCATCGACAGCCGATACAAAAAATTAAGATTATGCGCATGCATATGACGTCTCCCGACTGATTGTAGATCAGGACTGAATGTCATATGTCGTATGACGGATGTTATACTTAGTGTGAATCCTATATTTTAAGTACGGGTTCATTCGGACCGATCTTGAGCAACTCTCGAAAGATAAAACGAATAATATTAATGCTTACAGCATCGCCCTACCAGCATGGAGGGGCACCTTTTTCCTGAAAGCGTACGGGTTCAAAAAAACGGGACTTTCTCTCTCTCGCGAGCAGCGAGTGTTTTAAGGAGTTAGTTCAAAACCTCCCGGAGTCAAGTCTGGTCGAAGAGAAACGGTCTCTTCCAGAGTATCGTGATTTCTAGTTTAATTCCTAAATTCTACTCGCGTGAGCAATCCAATCTAATCATAGGTACATCTTATTTAACCTTCCTAACCGCATCTAATTATTAGTTATAACATAAGTCTGGATATGTGTGTAGCAACTGCAGAAGTTATAAAATACACTAATTACTTTTGAGCAATTATAAGTACGTATATATAATAATATTTGACGAAACCTCTCCTTTTACAATAAACGCCGTCGCGCGTATATGTTTATCGTTTAACTTGGAGATCGTGTGTGTGAACGAGCGGAATCAGCGCCAGCCAATCATCGAGCACCTACAAGGAGCCTGACCAACCAGAGTCCAGACTGAGCCGCGTGTCCCGCACCACGGACCGAACCACCAGCAAGATTCATGAAGGGATTACCGTAGGTTTCTTCTTAACCGAAAGGACGCGCAACTCTCGATTTGTTACCCGCCATTGGTCCCCGGTTTGTCCAGGTATCAATTACCAACGGACGGACCTTGGGACGTAACAGCAGCACGCTGTGGCAACAATCCGTTGGTTAAAAATTTTACATGAAATGACGCACTTCCGACGTAAAATACATTTTGCCGCATCTCATTGAAGTTCAACCGAACAAACAACGAACAGCAAAGAATTCGAAAAAAGAAGTCGAAAAAATCTGCAATATTTGCAAAAAATATGAAAATTAAGTATATTTACAATGAGTATTTACAATAAGTTACATACAACGAATACATTTTTATTACGATTTGAAGTGATGAGGATATTCTAAATTCTAAATAATTACCTAAAATGATAATTGTCCAAATTGTAACTGCACTAACAGTTACATATAATCACAAGTTTTTATCTTTTTAAGTTTTCCATATTAATTTTTGAGCTGAGGAAATAAAAGACACATATTTGAGATTAAACTTTAATACATGTGCTGTTGCCGTTATTCCTTTTCATGCGTAACAAATGTAGCGGAAGCAATTATGAAAAACTTGTGTAAGAAATTCACTACATATACACACAACAGAGATACCAATAGCGTCAAGGCTGTGTGGCTCAGTAACAGAACGAAAGTTTACCAACTCGGAGGAGAGAACAGGCCTGAGATCGAGATGAGGAGCGTCCTGATATTTTTCTCTGTTGTCGTCAATTGTTTATTGGCATCACGTGACATTTTGCTGCCGCGGCGTGCTGCGCATGAAAAAGCACCTTAATTCAGCTAGCAATCCAGCAGGAAAACAAGCATTGTGTGCCGCCGGCTTAAGGGTAAAGTCCCATAAAACGTATTTGCCGCGTAACCGCGTATCCAATTATTGGTAATTATTTAGAATACCTCCCTCCCCCACACCTTAAATCTTAAAAATCTAATAAAAATGCATTTATTCGACATGTTTTCACTCAAAACGAAAAAACCTGGCAAAAAAACGCGGTCAATCTCGTGAATCGAGTTATTAAGCGTTTAAGTTGGAGATTTTAGAGGTTAAGATATCTGTCATCCTAACTCAATATAGCGCTATATATACGATCTGCATTAATTACACAGATTCACTGCTTTAAAAACACATTTACTGCTTTATAAACACAAATTCATTGCTTTACAAACAAAAATTCACTGCTTTGAGTACACAAATTCTTTAGCAGTGAATTTGTGTTTGTGAAGCAGAGAATTTGTGTTTTCAAAGCAGTGAATTTATGTTTTTAAGTTTGCGGGGAATGCTTGTGAAGTGGAGAGATGTTGATTATATATCCAATTCAGAACAGTGCTGAGTGATTGTTTCAACGACGCATTCCCTATTCCGCATTTGCGAAAAAGCGAATGCGTCATTGTTCTAATAAACCGTATTTTGAGAGGTTAAAATAATTTGATGCTGATTGATATGATGGAATTGTCGAGACGAATGAAGCAAAGACAAAATTTGAGTGCATAAATATAGATACAAGATAAAAAAAGAATGATGCATTACGTACGATTTCATGTGTACGCTTTTCCACACTTTTCCATCACGCCAATTTTGTGTGCTATGTTCACACGATGCGGAAAAATGATAGTAAATGCGTTAAAGTAGTTTAAAAAATTATTGAGATTGTAAATATTGGGTCATCTAAAAAGTATCCGGTTTTTTGTCACTAGATGTGTGTTGATGGTCATATATCTAGTGACAAAGTACCGCGGATACTTTTTAGATGACCCAATATTAATTGTAAAACATTAAAACTAATGATAATTGTTTTTACAATTTGAAAAATTATATTTCATTTTAATAAGCAAATTATTAACATGAAGTTAGTAGTTTTTGAATTATATTCATGCTGGATACATCTTTGACGCATCATGTGAATATAGCACACACAACTTGCGTAATGGAAAGTGCGGAATAATGCTGATTAGTTGCTTCAATAACGCATTTTATATTCCGCAGTCCTATTCTGGACCGTGTAATTTCACTCTTAGTTTTAGTAAAGCTTGCAATAAACTGTTTTGATTCTGAATCTCTTTTCGCGCCTTCTCGAGATGATCGCGCAATGTTCTACCCTTACCCCTCCCCTCCTCCAATCTTAGCAGAGCCATAAAGCTGGTTCTACATTAGTTGCAAGCCAAAAGGCAAGTTTGTTGCGACAACCAATCTGAAGCTTGCATTTTGAAATCAACGTTTCATATTGGCTGTCGCAACAAACTTGTGATCGGCTTT